AGGGTGTTTGTTTGGTGTCGAGCTAGCAGGTGGTGGAGAGGGGGTGGTGGCGGTAGTGGTGTCTGCCCAACAAGGTGTGTGTTGGCATCCATACAAAAACTGACGCCTACAGGCATGGCCCCGCCTCTTTCCCACCAGATCGACTTTCTTCAGTGCAGGAATGAGACACGGACACCTCCTCCAGGTTGAGACATATAATCTGGGCCTGTCAGGGCCTTTATCAAACAGGATCAACTGGTGCGCTGGGCCTTTCTCCACAGTCCCCACAGGCAGCAGGATACCTGCACACGCATTCCTTCGACACATCCCTGTCCCATGAGGCGTATCACCTGTCTTTTATGGCAGCTCAGCTAGAAGATGAGGGGGGAGGGGTTGGAGTACAGTTGCTCCTCTGCATTGTCCTGATGGAAAACTAAGATAGCAGCATGGCCTTTGGTTTGGAGGATTTTCTTCATCCCATGAGTCTTAAAATGTCAGAATGCTGATCAACAAAAAAAAATCCCTGTCTTAGAAAAAACTGATTTTGTGTTTGTGCCTGTTTTGTCACTGCAGCCTGTTTTCATTGCAAAGACAGTATGACGCGATGATTGTCGGAGCTCAGGATGCCTTTTATAGCCCCTTGAGGATACAGCAGCGCACCTGAGGGAGCCCTCCTTGGCTCAGTTGTTTCAGCCCTTCACTGTGAGTGGCCAGATAAGAGAGGGCATGAATCAAAGCAGCAGCCTCGTTGTGCACAGAGCTCTAATCATATCACGCGACCTTGAGCCATATGTCTTTGTACTCTCTTTAATTGAATTGATCCTGGGATGAGATTGGCTGACATACCTTCCAGTGACTGAGCCTGCACTTAGAGAGCGAGGCGAGGAATAAAAGCAATTTGGGACAGTTGTTTTCTTGGCACAGTTTGGGATAAAATCCTAACGGTATCCTGCAGCCTGCAGTTTCATTTCACAGATTTCATTGCCGTTACTAGACTTGCCCAAAGCACCAACCTGTATTGTCTAATATTAAATAATTGTGAATTTTATTGGCATGTTGGCAGCCCGACGATTGCTTTTTAAAGACGTACTCATCAAACATGACAGATTTGCGCTCAGCAAGCCTTATAGTGACAAACACTTACCTTATTGAATTTCTTGGTCACATGTGAATGCATTATTTGCTCCTGACTCACAGAGGAGGACATCTGACGTCAACTTGTCCCCAGACTTGGCCAACTCAATTACTGGCATCTATCAGCTAGCGGCCTCATGACGACACATGAAGATTAAGTTAATGATTTAATACCTCGGAATCGCCTGTTTATTTGTGCCCATGTCCACCTCTGTTAATCACTTTGTGTAAAGATATGCAGAGGAGCTGCCGACATGTTGCATTCATGTCTCCAACACCACACTATCAACAGTATAGAAACCCCATAACGTGTAGGTACATGTCTGACTGAAGTCTCAACACCTTTGTGGCTCCTGCATGAAGCTCATTGCCTGGAGCGGCTGGGAGTTTCCCCGAAAAGCACTGAGGTGCAACTCATTTCGTCTTTCTTCCTACTTAGTTTTTTTCTGCTTCCTGTGCAGGCAGGAGACTAAATCCATGAAAGCCAAACTGAAAAGGAAACATACAGACAGAGAGCTCTTTTCAGACTCCTTGGCCCATAATCAGAGTGGGATGTGGGTTTGAAGCTGAAGTGAACAAAGTCAGTGTTAAACGTGGCTGTGACGTGGAGTTAAAGTTGTCCAAACAGGGTTGATTCCCTGTGAAGCAGGGCTGGCCCATGAAGAGGGGAGAAGCTCTGATTTTAGAATACATACGTGCCAGACAGCCGAGGGTATAATGAGATGGAGAGAGTCTGGCACAGGGGAAAGAAACACTTTGTGATGTTTGATGACTCATTTTTCCCAAACTCAGCATGGCCAAGTGTTCCTTCTAATGCTGAACCCTCAGAGTGAGTGGTAGCTTGGCTGAACTTCTTTTATTGCTTGAAACGTTGATATGAAACAAGGCGGTTCAGGAGGCACAGCTACTAATGCTTTACCTGACTGACTGAGAGATGTGCTGAATCCTCACAGTTTTTCCTCAATGCTGCATTTATTTGCCTAATGCACTTATAATGGATATTTTAAAAATAATTTATAAATGATAATGTGGAAACAATGTGACAATATGAAAGGGTTCCCTCATAGGGATGACACTACAGCGAATTATATTCCTAATCTGCAGCCCCCCCTCAGTTTTTTGGAGTTTTTAAAAAAGTTTCAGCTTGTTGTTTAGTTGTCCAACCCCCAATTTTACTGTTTTGGTTCACTCTCAAACAATCAAGCAGCAGTTAGCGATTAGCTGGCTAACATTGTGGAACATTTAACGGCTAAACAGTCAGATATGTCCCTCAGGAGCTGGTAGAGACCACAATCAGAGCTAAAAGAGAGTGAGTATAGACTTGTGTTCACCGGGTCACCAGAAGCACAACTCCAAATCCTCCAAATGAATAATGTTGCTCTGTAAATAATAACTGTTTGCTAAAAAGTTTGCCATATCAACTTAAAGGAAGATTTAATGTTTTATGTTTTTTTGCAGGTTCAAATATGCATATTTCCCAAAATGTCAAACTATTCCTTTAAAAGTTGCTTCCAAAGTTGGCTGTCATTCAAATACAATATAGTTTCTGAAGACAAAAGCGTGCATTTTTTAGATATCATAGCTGATTTATTTCATAAAGCACATTTTCCAAAACAGCATTTTAGACTGAACCCTGTGATTTAGTTAAGTATTGTAAAGAGAGAATTTTGTGGCTTAATCTCAGCAGCATTTCAGATTCCTCTGCCTCACACGGGACGTGTTAGGGTTCCCAGCTGCTGTTTCATGCTCCGTTCTCTATGCCATGCAATTATGTTGGTTCCCACCGGAGGTTTGGATTTGGTGGAGTTCAGCAAGGAGTAAGCTCATGCATTAACTGCTCCTCACTGAGCCTCACATAAAAACTAAGATGCATGCAAACACACTGCACCAAAGCACAAAAGAAAATAAAGCATAACAATAGCTCCTGCACAGGAAATGGCATTCCTTAATTCGGAAAGAGAAGCCCATAATTTTCTAACTGATTCATTCACATGTGAAATCACTCCGTAGAATTGTTTATGTACAGCGAGGCTTCCCAGACTTGAGGGATGAAGAGATTTCTGTTCAAAGACACTAGATTATTTTTACTGATAACCATCAAACTGTCCCACGAAAGGAAAATAAAATATCTAACAGATTTCAAATAAATCCCCTGAAGACATTCTGCGCTTTTCCTCTTTCATCCTTCAAGATAATGCTTTTTATTTAATTTCATTGTTTACAGTAGGCATATATTAAAGGACATGGAGCTTTGACTGAAATAAAAAAATTAATTAAAAAAAATGAAAGGAAAAACTAAATCAATTAATTAACAGGTTGTATTTTGTTGTATGTTGTCTGAAATAGTTATCTGCTTTAAAATGAGTACAACAAACTGCTGCTTTGTATGAGATGTTTAACACCACATGCTGTATCCCTCCTGCTTGTCTGGGTTGAGAACAATGTGCTGAGACCTGGACAGACAGGGTGTCGCAGGCTCTCTTTGCTTGTGACAACAGAGTCGTTGTGAGGGAAGGCTGGTAATGCCTGGCACTGAGGCTGCAGCCTTGCCAGTGGCTATTCAGCCACTCTGCACGGTCACCTGCCTGGGTTGGACTCTTTCTTTTGTGGTCAACAGCGCCCTCTGGTGTCATGAGCCTGAGTCACAGGGCAGAAAGGTTTTTAAGAGTCGTATCTAGTATTTGTTTCTTATCCGCTGTTCGTGCATGAACTCATTCAAGACAAGAAGGCACGATATCATTTGCACACATTGTGTTTCTGATGGCATTAAAGCAAAAGCTAGAAATGTGAGTTTTTTTTCTAAAACCATATAAAAAGCAGCACTCCACTGATTTTACACATTAAGATTTACATGTCACGATGACTCAGCCTGTGAAAACAATCACATTTTTAATAGGATGCTCATGTTACAAACTGGAGGCAGAAGTTTGAAAGATGTGGGAGTACCAGGCAGGGAGGGCCAAGACGCTGTTGAGTTGCATTATGGGATTTGTAGGACCTCGACCCATAGTACAAACCAAAAGTCAGGATAGCTCAGCTTCTGCTTCTTTGAATTAGACCACTCCTTTTTTGAGCTGTCTCTCACAAGTCCCCCAACATATTAGATAATACTTCATCACTGGAGCAACCCTGTGAGGCCCACAGTTGCAAAAATCATCACTTTATTAAAGTGTAAAAAATATGTAAATGTTTTTCTTTTAAAGACCACATTTACACAGTCAGTGGGTCCTCTTGTCCCATTAGTATTAGTAGTAGAGATCAAAATAGGCCAGCTAGAATTAGGAAGAGGATTAATTTGGGCGTCACAGGGTTGAAGATGTTGTTCATCATCGCTGTCATCTGAGAGGTAGTGGCTTTAAAATACAAATGTTGATACAGTCCCCAACCAAGCTATTTTTCTGGTACAGCACTGGAGTATTTTGTTCAGCATTATTGGCTGCATCAAGTGTTTCTTGGTGTGCACCTTCATGTTTTGAGAAAGTCTCACCACTGGTTGCTGTTTAAAGCTGCCAGAATGCAAGCACCCTCCCACACACACAGAGCCACGGACACATGGATGCATGCACACACAGTTCCCCCTGCATCCTTGATGCCTCCTTGTCTGCTCTCATGACTGCAGCAGCTCCACACGACTTCACACCTGATAAGAGCTTCACAGTACATGGTAGTCTAATGTGCCATCAGCACTGACCCAACCTCCTCACCCCTCTCTCCCTTCTAACCTCACCCTCTCTGTCCCTCCCTGCTGCTGCTGATCTAAGGTTTTCTGCGTGTGCAGTAGTAAATAATTCAATGTCAGCTACACTTCTTACAGGTCCTAGTGCCGAGAAAGCAGCCTTGCTCGTCATTCCTGCAGTGTGCACTCTGGCAGCAGCTCCTGAGAGAGAAAGATTACACAGATCCAAGGAAGCTGCAGAGCACACCGAGCCACCCCCCCTTCCACTGAGGATACACAGGACTATGCTTACTTTCCCTCCTCCCTCCCTTCCTTTCTCTCTTACCCATCCCCTCACTCTCATGCTCAACTCTGTGCTGAGCTTTATCGTAGCGTAGCGCCTCTCAACAAGCCACTGAGGAGAAACTTCAAGAAGCCCATCCACACAGCTTCCCTTTCCTCCTGCCCAAGCATGCTGGAGCTCGGACAGAGATGGACGAGGCTGATCTGCTTGTCACTTCTGTGTCTGTGTCTCTGCCTGCCGAGGGAATCAAACGCCAGGAGAGCCCCAAAGATTCCCAGATGTCCTGCGACGTGCTCCTGCACCAAAGACAGTGCCTTCTGCGTGGATACCAAGGCCATCCCCAAGAGCTTCCCACCTGGAATCATCTCTCTGTGAGTCCAACATCTGTGTGTGTCTGTGGTTTTCACTCTTCAAAAGCACATTTTCATAACCTGTATGAAGTGTGAGCATTATGCCGGCTGGTAGAGATGGGTACATCACTGATGTCACCCTCTATTATGTAATGATGCGGGAACCCCTACTTGTCTTTTAATAAACTGAAAGTGAATATAGCTGCTGTTTTCTTTATGCAATGTGTCTTTGCATTAACAGAGAGATATATACCAGACAGCATTAAATAATAATAATAATGTCCCTTTACTGTACCTTATTTCTGAACTTAGCTGGGGCAGCACAGCTGTAAAATGCGGTCGAGCTCCAGAGAGTAATACTAACAATAGATTCCAGATTTCTCTGCAGGAGACCTGCTTCTCCTCTGAGAGATCTAATCTTGAAGAGAGTTCAGAGATACGCTCAATGAACAGAGCACATGTAATGATTTGGAAAGCTTAACACTTGATGTGGGAATTTTATGTTCTACTTAGAAAGTTACAAGTTGCCCCTTTTCATGGGACACTGACCCCCATCGCCAGAGGATTGAATACACGAGTCAAGGGAATTCCAGAGCACAGGCTGGTGGAGGTGTCCTCCTTTTACAATAGAGAAGAAGACGTGAAGAAGGAACTTGTGTGTCCTAGTTTTCTTTTTAAATATATTTAGCCCTTCTTCATATTTACACTGCAAGGAAGGCCATGTCCCGAGAGAAGAAATAAATAAATACACAGTCTATGTTGGAATAAGATGAAACACATGAAGTGACTCTTCTACACATCTGATGAGGATGATGATGATGATGTTTGTCTGAACAGGACGATGGTAAACGCAGCCTTTACTACAGTCCCAGAGGGAGCTTTCTCGCACCTTCATCTACTGCAGTTCCTGTGAGTGTTCCGACCCACAACAGAGCACTTTCACAACCTTTAAAACATCATAAACTCTTAATTCATATCTCTTTTACTATACCAGTGAGCTTCACACTTGTCCCTGTTTGAAAATAAAGTCACTACACTTAATGTCACACACGTGTTTTAACACAGTCGATATTGTAGCGCTCGCAGACAGCTTTTGTCTTGCAGCGACAATGGGAGTGACTTCAGCTACTAGAAATGAATGCTTATTGAAAACAGTGGTGACATAGCAGTAATAAGAGTAAAGTGGCTCTGTATCAGTGCCATTGCCAATCACTGACTCCCTTCAGTTGTGCTCTGCCGGACAAAGGGCCGTTTATCTACTCAGATGCAATCATGAGTGTGTGGTCACGTCCGTGTGTGTTTTTGTCTTGGTCTGTGCGTGTTTGTGTGATTCCAAAGTATTTATGTGTTTATATTGTATTAGCTTTATATACTGTGATTGTTTTATGTGATAGAGACTATAACTGTTTTTATGCGTTGTACTCTCTTCTTTAAAAAGCATCTGAATAAGCCCAGAGACAAATATAAATAATTATATATATTAATGTGTCAGTCGGTTGTTTAGCCCTCTCACTTCAGTTGAACATGTATCACACTGTCTACATGACTTGATCATTATTGTCTCCTTTTTAAAGGCTCTTGAACTCCAACACATTCACCATGGTTACCGATGATGCCTTTGCTGGCCTGTCTCACCTGCAGTACCTGTAAGTGTCAAACTTCAATGGTTCTTCAAAAATCATTTTGACCCGTTTTTTTAACTCGCTGTGTTTTGGTGCATCCGATTTTTTTAAAATATTGAATAAAATGTACTTATATTACTGTGCGTGTACTGACAAAGATGTTTGCTAAAGACACAGTTTTAAGGTGAAACCATGTAACATTTGAAATAATAAATACTCTAGGACATACTATCATAAATAGAAAGTTAAATTCACAAGCTGTAAAACACACCCTTGATCAGTTCAACACTCAATACACACACTTTAAATAAATACTGCTGTGTAACTGTTACTGGGTCAGCTTGCTGACTTTGACTCCCACGTTATTTCTACTAGTTTTACATTATTTGTTGCATTTACAATTATGCTGTAATTGTTAAGCAAAAGCTACGCAGTTTTCAACAGATTTTTAGTATTGCACTCTTTTCTTTCTGTCATGCATTGTTTACTTTTGTGAATGACTAATTACAATAGGTCTAGGTAGCTATATTTCCCTGCAAAGTGAATAGCTTTGACCTTAATGCAGCACTGTAAGATTTCAGGATTGGACTGCAGTATTGCAAAGGATGCCAAAAGTAAAACTGAAAATAAATCCTCATACGAAAGCGAGCACACTGCCCCTATAGTGAGCTAAAGCTGAATATGCCATTCTGTGAATTGATGTGCTTTAGAAAGTAGTTAGCTGATGGCTTGGAGCATGCAGCTCTCGGTGGTGGCCCTGCCTCCGGCTGCTTGCTGTGTGTGGCTTTGGCTGCAGCCCAGCCATCAGGCCTCTCTGCATCACTGCCAATACCGTCACTACCCGCTATGAATACTAATAAAGTCACACTTTCATATCCAGCCACCTCTGCACATGCTGTACGTCCTCGTCTAACAATAGACAAAACGTAGACAGGACGGAATCAAATGATGCTGACACGCAGACCTTTTTAACACTGGCTGCACTTATTTTTATCACATTAATCAAAGGCATGAAATTAGCTTTTGCCATCAACAGTCTTTTTTTTTTTACGTTTTTTCTTTGCAGTTTCTACACTGATTGTATTAGTCAGTAGGATCTATCAAATGGAAAATAAAAAATAATAAAATATATATATCTGTATTGTCAAATGTTTTCAACCCAGACTTACTCCTTAGGCCATTACCTTTTGATAGTAAATCAATCATAGTGACATAATTGCTGCTTACAGTCAAATTCCTCTTGTATCCTGCACTGACAACACAACCTTGTTTCCAAACAAGCATGACATCCTATAATATATCCTGAATTTCAGAGTTTTTCATCACTGTGTGACATGTGAGTGGTTTGTTCTCTCCTCAGGTTCATTGAGAATAACGACATCCAGGTTCTCTCAAAGTACACCCTCAGAGGACTCAAGTCCCTGACTCATCTGTAAGTATTGTGTTGAGCGATTAAGATACGAAACCCTGTCTATCGGATGAAGCTAAAATATATTTAGAAACCGGAACATTTGTAAAGAAACTTGAAAAGCAGGTACACCGTTTCTTTGGCAATTATATACAATGCAACCAATGAGGACAGCTATGGTTTCTGGTATTTTTCAGATCGCTCTCAAACAACAACCTGCAGCAGCTGCCAAGAGATCTATTCAAACATCTAGACATCCTCACAGATTTGTAAGTGTGCCTTCACTGAAATAAACCCAAGAGCTTTGACCCTACAATCTGTCTCTACAAAACACTGGTTTGCTGGGGTTCCCTGAGGGTTTAGTGGACTACCACAATTGGCTGTAAAACTGTCTGGCTCCAGTGTGTGGTTTCTGTCTGAGTCAAACCATGCTGGTGCACTAAAACACTTTTGTCGGTTGTTTCCTTCCTGTTAGGTTAGGAAGATGTTTTTCTGTACTTGTGTACACAACAGTCCTGTCTATTCTTTACCTTTATCTGTCCAGCTTGGTTGTCTTTGTCCCTAGCTGTTATTAATAGTTATTAACACTGTGTTAGTACATCGAGAGAGATGGAAAAAGAAAAAAACAGATTCACATTCCTTGTATGTGCATATTTGGCCAATAAAGCTGATTCTGATTTACATTTGAGCATTTAAGATATAAACTGCTATTGTCCCTCTTCCTTACCTGTTACTCAGAGACCTGCGGGGGAACTCTTTCCGCTGCGACTGTAAGATCAAATGGCTGGTCGACTGGATGGAGAAGACCAACACTTCTGTTCCTGCCATCTACTGTGCCAGCCCTTTCGAATTCCAGGGACGCCGAATCCACGACCTCACACCACGAGACTTCAACTGCATCAGCGCAGGTTTCACCTTCTCTCTGTCAAACATTCTGGTGGTGTCATGGCATAACTCATTGTTTTATAAGTATTGTAATTCCACATTGTCTTCCCATAGATTTTGCTGTTTATGAAACCTTCCCTTTCCACTCTGTGTCGGTGGAATCCTATGAGTTCAATGAGGATCAGTTTGTGGCCTTTGCTCAGCCTGACTCAGGGTTCTGCACCTTGTATGTATGGGATCACGTGGAGATGGTCTTCAGGATGTTTCATAACATTACTTGTAAGTTGCCAGCTATGAAAGCACAAATATTGTACCATTCTATGTTTTAAAAAATAATCCTACCGTCTTTTCTGCTCATGTGTATCTCTCATGCAGCTCGCTCTGCTGTGTACTGCAAACCAGTGGTGATAAACAACAGTCTTTACATGGTTGTCGCTCAACTCTTTGGTGGATCTCATATCTACAAGTAAGGCTTGCGATCTAATCTTGCAGGTCTAGTGCCCTGTTGAATTTCTCCAGCATATAGAAAAACATAACCTTAAGGGGGAAAAGGCGCCACCTTTTATGCAGATGTCCAATCAGTGTTGATGGTAAATGTAGTTAATTGAGGCAATGCATTCCTCAATGTGTGCTGAGAGTGGTATCAATCTTCTCATCTAACTCTCGGCAAGAAAGCAAATAAGTGTGTTTCCCAAAAGATTATTTTATCTGTGAAAAGCTGTAGGAATACTATGACAACCCCTTTGTTATCGCAGGTGGGAAGATGGCCCGCAGCGCTTTGTAAAGATCCAAGACATCGACACCACTCGCGTGAGGAAGCCCAACTTTGTGGAGACCTTCCAGCTGGATGAGGAGTGGTACTTTGTAGTAGCAGACAGCTCCAAGGCAGGCTCCACCAGCATTTATCGCTGGAACAGCAATGGTTTCTATACTCACCAGTCCCTTCATCCCTGGCATCGGGACACACATGTGGAGTTCCTTGATGTTGGGGGAAAGCCTCACCTCATCCTCTCCAGCGCCTCTCAGGCGCCGGTGGTTTACCAGTGGAACCGAGGCCAGAAGCAGTTTGCTTTCTTCTCCCAAATCACAGAGCTAGCAGATGTACAGATGGTTAAGCACTTTTGGGTGAGGAAAGTTCTTTACCTTTGCCTCACACGCTTCATAGGTGACTCCAAGATCCTCCGCTGGGAAGGACAGCGGTTCATAGAGATCCAGACTCTTCCTTCTCGAGGCTCAATGGCAGTGTATCCTTTCACAGTGGGCCTCCGCCAGTACCTAATTCTTGGAAGTGATTTCTCCTTCTCCAGAGTATACCTGTGGGATGACCTCACTCAACGCTTTCAGCCCTTCCAGGAGCTCAACATGAGAGCCCCGCGAGCGTTCAGCTTGGTATCTGTAGACAACAAGGACATAATGCTGGCTGCTAGCTTCAAAGGCAACACCCTGGCCTATCAGCACCTGCTGCTGGATCTAAGTGCCAAGTAGACATGCTACAGCCAGAGCGAAAGGAGGTGTTTCTCAGCATTTATCAACATGTGCCAAATAAAGGAAAGACTGCAAAATGTTAAAGCCATGTAACTTAAGGTCTGCTATTTCACCTGAATGTTTTAAGCAAGGCAACTGATTAAATGATTAATCTGAATGCAATAATGTGATGATACACAGCATCAGTAACATGCCAACGTAAGTGTTGTGTCACTGACGCATATTTGCTTCTGTTCTGCCAAAAATTAATCTCGGCAATGTTTGGCAGGACTAAACTATTATATTCTATGCTGCATTTTACCAATGTGAAAATGATATGCATGTGCATCGACAGAATTATTCACTGGATGAGACTGGATATTGTAACTGACTGTAAAACAATGAAGGTTTTGTAAATTACACAGTGTAGTTTATCTGTGTAGCATTTTGCATGACACAGTACAATATATATGATAGAACTATGTAAAACAAGCAATACTTACCATTTCAATACTTAAAAATCCTTGATTATGTCTATCTTTATATATGAGATACCATTGAATTTGTTTCGGATTTAATGTCCTTTCCGCAATAATAACATAGGATCGGAGCCAGTCTGAGGCATGAGCAAACTAATCATGGGGCGCAAAGAATTAACTGAAAATGTGAACCTGCTATTGCTCTTTAGAATGTAGTGTTTTTAAAGCTATTATCCAAAATGTCTCCCCCTGTGACTTTTTTGGGGGGACGTAGGAAATGAGAGAACATTTGGGGGCACTATTGCAAACGTGGGGATTAACAAATAAACAATGGCGTGGTACAACATGTTGGAGAATGTATATTAAAGTTCTGAAAAATTTCAAATAATTTCCTGTTTTTTAATGTACAGTTACAAACTGTATTTATTTGTCGAGGTGTACATTTGCACATGGAAGGGGTTATATGATTAAATTCAGTTTTGAAGCCCATAAAAGATTCTCTGTCCTGTCTTATGTGGTTAGAATTTGCTTCTCGAAAACCGTGATAACCCCATAACACAACTCCTGCAGCCATCAGCAGTTTATTTTGTATTGCAGTAGGCCTACAAATGAGTCTTAAAGTACATTGGTACTGTGTTAGCTGTTAAATCTGGATAATGGCGTATGAGGCCCTTTGAGTTGTAGACTACAGGCTGTAGAAAATAAAAGAAATAATGAAAATACGCCATTCAGTAGTTTGTACTCACTGCAAACTCAAATTAAAAATACTTAAACCACACATGTATCCTGGGAAGAAGATATCTCTCCCGTTGCAGGGATATGCATATGCGCGTAAAATGCGCAAAGTGAATGTTCGTGAGCAGAGTTATGAGTGCGCTCGCTTTGTTGCTCCGGCTGTCTGCGTGGGTGGAGTAATACCATAGTCTTCTTTGCACACGTTATCACCGCCTTTTCGCACGGTTCTGAATTATAAAACGCGCGCGCCCATACGTTGTTGACATGTAGCCGAATATCGTATATCAATGCATCATGTTGAAGTGAGGGTTGGTTTTGATAGCTGGCAGCTGTATGCGAGCTAATGCTCTAAGTTGTCCTTTAACAGAGGGAACTGTAACTCACACAACGTTAAAGTGTTTGTTGCTGCTCAGAAAGAGAGCAGTTAGTGGCTGTTGTTAGCTAACCTAACGTTAACTTGACTCTAAGCTAAACGTTAGCTAACGCGTTAGCTGTCTGCTTGACAACATAAGCAAGTCGATAAAGCTTGAGTTAAAGTTTAGGTATTTCAAATGTCTAACGCCACAGAAATTAAGTTGGCAGCTGAATGGGAGGACGACGAGCGGATGAATTTTATGTTCTCGGACTTCAACGAGAACCGAGATGTCAACACGACGGACTGGGACAGTAAGATGGACTTCTGGACGGCTCTGGTCATTAAAAGCTGCAGGGACCGAGGCACCGTGTACGTCAGTCTGCAGGAGCTGAACAAGACCTTCAGAAGGAAAGATAAGTCACCACTGGGCTTGGTGACTGTCATCCAGTCCATGGCCAGGTAACTGTTACTGCGTCATGTCATCGCTGACTGTTACTGTCTCTGTGGGTCAGTCTGGTTACATCGTCTTGTATTTTAACTTCTGCCAGATGTGGGAAGATCCAGAGGGAGTCCGAGTTTGCCGCCAATGTGGACTGCGGCTGGCTGTCCTGGGGTGTCGGCCTGCTGCTGGTAAAACCTCTGAAATGGACATTCTCAACTCTTCTGGGAAGCAACCAGGTGCCTTTGGAGGAGTCCTTCGTTGTCATTGAACTAGTGAAGGTTTGTTTAACTCCCCCGTTTTCCTGATGAGGCTCTACAATACAACATTATCACGTAAAACACCATGCTATACTTGTGTTATACTTATTGCTGGAATATGTTGTGCATTACCTTTATTCGTCCCCCTTCAGTTTTTACAACAAATGTCCAGTACAACATGCAAACGAGTGTGTGGAGTACCGTACCGCCAAAGATAACGTTACTTTGAAGACGGATCAACTTGCAACCATGCTGAATGGTTTCTCTTTCCCAATCTCTGATGTTCAGGGCTGACACTAAACATTATTGTGGTTTTCCTTTGTTTTCCAGGAGAAAGCAGCAGAATTACTCAAGGTGTACAGGAGCAGTGGATCTGCAAGGCGCTCCATCCTGTCATTTCCAGAGCTCTGTACTCTCTCCTCTGACGTCTGTGCCGATGAGAGCACCCTGTGCATGGCGCTCCTGCAGCTGCAGAGGGACAAGCAAGTGACGGTTTCATTGCACGAGGGTGAGAAGGTAAACACATTCTCATTCAAAAGACGCACCGTTTGACAGTTATCTTTCTCGACAAAGCCTGATAAGAGATATCCTCTGATTGCTGGTTTAATGTTTTCATTTTCAACTGTCTTCAATGTGTCTTTACAGATTGTCAAGTTTTGTCAGGCTGGGCAAGATAATTTTTCCCCAGTCAGCGATGTGGATATGGGCATCTACCAGCTGCAGCGCAGTGAGAAGCTGCTGGGAGAGCGGGTGGAGAAACTGGGCCTTGATGCTGACAAGTACATCAACTCAAATATGAACTTTAAGTAGAAACAGAATGAGTATTGATAGTGATCGGTTGATGTCAAAGAAGATGGTACTTTTATTTTACAAATCTACATTTACCGTCTGTGATGTAGTCATTGTTCCAGTTGTGAAATAACCTAAATGTGCAACTTAATGCTTCAGCCGTCTTTTTTTTCTCCACTTATTGGACTAATTAGTCAGAAGGACTGTATTACATTTAAATGGTTGTGAAAGTCACGCTTTCTTGTGATTATTGCTGACGCTTTGCATTATCTGCAGGTGCAAAGAGGAAGCAAGGGCACTTCTCCGGGAAGGGAAGAAATCACAGGTACATAATAACATTGAGCTGAAACAAAAAAAAACATCTTACTGTGTGCAAACCAAACCTCACAGCACTGGTTTCAGTGGTAATATTCACTGTCTATCCCACAGGCGCTGAGGTGTTTAAGGGGCTGCAAGAGGGTGGAAAAGAGAGCAGACGGCTTGTTTGCCAACCTGGAGTCCATCAGAGGAATCCTGGACAGAATAGCCCAGTCGCAGACTGATAAGACGGTAAGAGGGCAGAGTGAACGTCAGCTCTCTTTCTGTGTAGGTATCTATAACCGAGTGTGTTGTCAATATTGTAAGTGTGTGCTGATCATGTTTGTAGGTTATGCAAGCATATCAGGCCGGAGTGTCCGCCCTGAGACTCTGTCTGAAGGACGTGACTGTGGAACGTGCTGAGAGTCTTGTGGATCAAATACAGGAGGTACAGTAGATGTATATTTACAGATAGTTAATTGTATATTTTATCATTCTAATTAAATCTTGCACTTAAAACATCTTAATGTGTCTTTCCTATGATTTACCCAGTTATGTGACACTCAAGATGAGGTGAACCAAACTATATCCAGTGGCGTGACCAGCGCAGGTATGACGTACCGTTGGGTCTTAAATACATTGTGTATATGAATATCAAGGAGGGTCTAAGTGTGTCATGTGTTTGTTTTTGTAGATGAAGACATGGATGAGCTGGAGGAGGAACTGAAATCTTTGTTGGACGAGTCAAAGCCGGATTCCATCTCAAGTTATCCTGAAGTTCCAACAAACGGTCTGCGAATCCCCGGGGAGCCGAGCCTCCGAGGTGCCGACCTGCTCAGTTCTCTGCCTGCGGTGCCTTACAGACGCTTGGATATCACCGATGAGCAGCTGGAGGAAGAGTTAAACCACCTTACAGATTCAGGTTTGCACTTTTTAGATTTTCACTTTTCCTCTGTTGGACTGTAATATACATGTTTTGGTAACAAATGGTCACGTCTCTGTCCAGGCTTTCAACAGAAGAAAATGACATCGCCAGCCAAGAGATTAGAGCCTGCACAGTGACGGCACAGGTTTAAAGCTCTACATCAACATATCAAACTGTGTTTCTTAAACATCCAAACAAGCCAGAATTCAAAGAAGTACAATAAAGTACTAAAGAACTACATTAGCAATTGCTACTTTATTATTGTAAGAGATGTAAAATCAATGTTATAATAAAAACAAGGCACTTTCCTTCATTAATAAGAAATGAGCATGGAGGCATGCCAAAAAGGATTTTTAAAATATATTTTTTTCTTTTCTAAATTAAAATGCTTTTCAACGTGAAAGATCTGCTCTGCCATCAGGATCTCAAGTCAAAAGTGAACATATTTATGGTTTAAATTATGCTCTTAAACGGCGAGACTAGTAATGCATTTGTATTTTTTCTTGTATTTTTGCCAAGTGTGAGAACAAGTGTATTTGTTGTTTGTAGTGTGTGTTTATTGATATCTTTAAATGTCCTTTACTGACTGTCCTCTGAAGAGCATCAAGTGGCCTTTTCAACTGTAAATTTGAAAGTAAAGTGAATATTATGCCAAATGATTTAATCAATAAGTTTGTTTAGTCTCACTGCAACATACCTGTGAAGACTGAGACGCCTACCTTAAGTGAGTTTAACCAAATATGTTTCCCAAAATAAAATTTATTTTAATCACTTGTCTGTCGTGGTATTTATTCCAGGAGTGGCACTACACCTCAGGAGACTTGTGGGCCTATGCAATATTCAACATGCAGTGGAGATTCACATAGATGTACAAGCACCAGGGACTGTAGTGGGAAGGCAGTTATTATCTTGAGATATTATTATACTATTAAGGGAGGTACAACAAAACACAAGGTTTTTCATTTTCTCTAAGGTCTACAACATATGAAATGGATTCTTCTATAAAACATTTTACTGCAAAAGTGGTTAAACTGACATATTATGACAAACCCCATAAATAGGACAAAAAAAGCCAGGCCGACTGGGAGACGATGCACCCTGAATGTCAGGGTAAAATAATGTATTACCAATGGAAATATCAGCAGCTTCTAGTTTATCTTCACTCCAGGAAAATAAATCCAAAGGTTTTAATAACGTAGCACTCTAAAATAAGTGTTGTAGTGTTGGTGTGTCCACTGATGGCATGTCCTATTTTCCACTAAGCTTTTACTGTGACTAAAGGAGGACACCTAGTGGCCAAATAGTTGAAGTACAAACACATTTGTAGAAGCAGACTGGCTGGTTTTTCAATGAGATTGGTGTCATTTTCAGTAACAGCAGACTCTTCAGAGTCAGAGTGACATTAAGCTGATGTTGCTGTGACAGACAGTCATGTTTAATATGATACTGAATGGTTTTTGTTTTATACAGATAAAGCTTTCACAAGACATCAGCTCAGTGATTTGGCTTGTACATATATCGTTCCTGTACTTACACCCTGGTACCAGTAACTAATTCCAGTTTCACAGGACATTGAATGATTCAATGAGTATGAACATGATGTGAATCATATGCTATGACATTTACAACAACTTGATTTTGAACAAACATGTTAGAAAGTGCTTTCCGCAACCACCATCGAAACATAAAAGGGAAGAATGGTGTTCATTTCTCCAGTGGACTTGTAATATATTTGAATGTGACGTTGTTCTGGAGGCTCTTAATGGCCCCAACACCTTACTAAGACACTTAAAGCAGTATTATCCTTAAATATCTGTACAAACAGAAACCAAGTAACCAAAGCAAAAAAAGAAGCATCGCTTTATTGTATAGATTCATTCATATACTTCAAGGACAAGTGATATTAATGTGAAAAGCAGGTTATTAAGTGATTATAATTACCGTCATGTTGGTGGTGCAGTGACTACTGTCAACATCTGAGGTGCTTTTGTCCTCTCTATTAAACAATAAATTAAAAAAAACAATTCATTACAAATGTATAGCCTTTATAAAGTACAGTTAATAATATCACAAAATCCTATTACAGCAGTGTTACAGCATTTGTGATACAATGCCCTCGTATCACAAATAGCATCAGTGGATATTGTTTAAGCCCAAACTTATTCTCACAATGGCCTTCATTGTCTCTCTCAGAGACACACTCTCTCGCTCATACACACACACACACACACACAAATATACGGTCACCATCCATTCATACTGCATGTGCACCACTGCTGTTTTTGCAAGTCAACAGAGGAAAGGTGAAATTACAGCTCGTTCACCCTTCACCAGCAAATCTCTCAATTGCACATTATGCAGCTCGTACATACAGTAACGTTATTATACTGATATCACAAAAAGATAAAAGACATTCGGGGAGTATTAGTTTAATAATTTCAGTTATATCCTATGCAGCAGTTTGTTGATATGTCCAGACTGTTGTTGAGAAGACGGAGCAGATAGAGAGATATGTAAAGGTAACTATGAGCCATGAATACACACGACACAGCTCGTGTGTGGTTGATCCGGTCGAGCAGGCACTGATGCAGATATTTGGCTGAGAATTGGTTGTATGCATCACATGAGACAGAATGAGGAGAAAGTCGAAGCGAAAGTCAAGATGTGTATTATACAAGATCTCATTGGTTGCAAAATAAGAAACATTTGGCATGCTTTATAGTAGTCATTTTCTAATGTATATTAAGAAAAACAAAAGTCTTTATGGAATACCATGAACAAAATTATAATCTTTTACTTTTTTCATATTGCAGTGTTGCGTAAAAAGCAGGCTACACAGTGGATCAGGCTCCTTCCTGCTCTTGCATTGTGTTTAGAGTAGATGTGTGTGTGCGTGTGCGTGTGTGCGTGTGTATGTGCATGTTAACATTGCAGTGTTAAACTGTTCTGTCGGTTCCCGAGCGCTTCCGCACAACCTTCTCCTCCTTGACCTGGTCCACTGCCAGTGTCTCCAGCTCTGCCTGCGGTGGGGCCATGGGAGGGGTGCCATGTGGGATGCGGTGCGCCACGCCCACGTGAGCCCTGTACTGACGGTCCCGAGCGGGGCTGTGTCGGGGGCTGGCCGTAGCACCCAGGGGAGTGATAGCGGAGCGCTCGGAGGCAATAGGAGGGATGACGGCAGGCCGTTCTCGAACTACCTGTGGTTCAGGAGAGTCTCTCCCGGCCTGCAGGAAGGGCGTGGGGTCTGGCATGGCATCTACCGTCTCCCGCAGAACCAACCGCCGGCCGTCCGGGCCAAGCCGATACACCTCAGTCAACTCTGGGTGAAGAGGCTGGGAGAGACTCTTCTTCATGCGTCGCCGTGGGGTTTCAGGTTGCCTGTCCTTGGCCGGTGGAGGCGTGGGCTTGTATGAAGTGACCGGACTAACGTTGGGGCTGGCCTCAGACGAACTGCCGGCTAACAGCTTCTTCTTGGTGGCGTGAAGCTGTGAGGTTAGGTAAGCAATAGTGCTCGCTCTTTGCTCCAGCTCCCCGGACAAAACAGCCAGCTTGTGGCTCTTCATCTTGAGCTCCTCCAGGTACTTCTTCTCTCTCTCCTTAATGGTGTTTTCTAGGACAGAGATCATCGCGTTCTTCTGCTCAAGGTCCCTGAGCAGCTCGGTGTTCTCCTCCTCCTTCTTCTTCAGCTGGGCCTCGAGCTCCTCACATCTCCTTTGCAGCTCCCTGCAGCGGACTTCACTGCTGTCTGAACACACACAACAAAAAAACACAGATGCATACGTGTAGTAAACAGCAAACATAGGTACACATGTGTGCACACAAGAAATGCAGAAACAGAGGCCAGAGACATTCATCTCCCCAGACCGCAGCAATGATTAGTACATTAAGAGCAGACACTGCCTATAGACAGTCTGCCAGCTGACAGAGACAGTTTGATCCTATGGAGACTAATCTGCAGTGGGCAGAGAGCTCCAGTCTCACGTTACAACTCTGGTGTACGGCAATGGCAGTGCTCTTCTCTGACCTTCATCCCCGGCCCACCCAGTAACAGCCTATACAGCCATGTTTGTACACGGGCAAAAAACGTGGAAGAAAATACAACCGTGCATTACGTATATACAGTAAATGTGTGTACAGTATTCGATGTCTAGTTTACATTATATTTTCCTAATTCCATTCTCCTATCAAATAGAGGGATGCATAGAAAGATGCTATCCATCCCTCTAAGGGAGGGGGGGGGGGGTGGTCATTTTTCATCCCAGTTGGAGCAGCTGAGGCCTGCTGCACTAAGCAGGTTGCAGGCTGTGCATTAGCACGGTGACAGATAATCTCATTTCCTGCACTCCAATCTCTGAGATGTCCCACGCTAACATGATAGTGCCTCTAACCGGAGGCCCTAAGGGTATTGCTTAGATCTGGGCCAGCCATGTTAAAAAGCAAGCAACATATAGTGATCCTGGTGAGACGCAACATGCTCCCTGTTCAGTTACACACATCGGTGGGGTCATCAGTGGCATGTAAATAAATTAAGCTGCATGCAGCCCAACAGGTGCCTCCCTGACTGTACTCTGCTGTCAGTATACAGACAGAGGAGCTGGGGCTGAATCGCACCAGTGTTGTGACTCCATGACATGGCCATGGTAACGTGTGGGGGGAGGGTCACTGTGCAGTGGGAGCTCTAATGAACAGCAGGGAGTCCCACACTGCAATGCTTTGTGGGAGGGACTTTGTTACCAGGAAACCTGTCCACTGACACAGACCTCTATGTCAGCAGAAAACACAGATTCATAGCCTTGACTGTTTTGTCTGCTGCTGCTGCTGTTGTACTTTTACAATTGAAATAACTTGTTAAGAAACAAAAACTAGATTTGATATAAATAATCCAGGAGGAAACGACTTGTTACAAGTACTTTCTAAGGCCTTTCTAAGACATTGAACGTCTGTAGCAAAACAGATAAGTGTGTACTTTACAGGACAATAGAGGCTTACCTGAGGGATCAGAGCCTCTCACAGTGAGCTCATATGTCAGATCTGTGAAAAAAGGAGAGGGTCACATGAGGTTGCAAAAGGACAGCTATCAAACAGCATTCACATTACACACACTAAGTAGCACCACTGCATGTTTGGGGAAGACGTGTCAGTAGTTTCCTTATGGCGAAGTATTCCTTTAACAAGATTAGTGAGAGTTCAACGTCAGCTTTAGTGACAGATTAGCCAAGGATACGGGAAATCAGGGCCAAAGCATACAGTGTGCTGTTTACCTAGGCGTCCATCTTTATATCCTCCCTTTGTGGAAGAGTATATCTATTACTGGTATAATGCTCAACACAGCTTTTGCATTGCAAAGTGTACTGATGCTTGAGTGCATTTCCCATAAATCATCATATTCTCTCTAAAAGGTTTAATAGTGGCCCCACAGCGTCTCAACTATCCATTTAGGTGTTCCATCTGATCTGCCCCAGCTGAGATATTCCCTCTAAGACGTTCTTTAATGCGCTGGTTTTTACGCAGCATGAGGAGAAGAGAGGTGGCTACGTGTGGTCGCGCTCACCTGTGCATTGCTGTTGTAATCTGCGAATCTCTGCGTGTAGCCCCTTCAACGTGCTGGCATGGTCCTGCTGGAGGAAGAGCAGGTTTTTCTGTGCACTGTGCAGCTGATTTTCCAGTGGAACATTTGCTGATGCCATGGCTGATAGTGTTCAGACACACACCAGACTTTGCGACCTCCAGACACACAGGTGGACAGAAAACAAGGAGAGACAGAGAACAAGAGAGAGAAGGAGAAGACGATAAACGTAAAGTCAGTCCATCTGGCAAACAGGCCGGTAGCTCTCACCCTTTCGCCTTTCAACAGCTGGGTTTAGGGATGTACTCACACTTTGCTCTGTCAGCCAAGATCTGCTTTAGATGACATATCGACTTCATTACCATTGGATAATACCATCAAACACATTCACAATGGAGGCCATTTGGCACTTCAACTAACCAAGCAAGTGTAAAAATGAGCAATTAGCAAACATGCTGAGGAAAAGGTGAGGATGCACATTTCTTAATTTGCAGAAAAGGTGTGTACGCTATCATCATTACTAAAGCTGGGTCGATGCTACGTTCAGACTGTAGCAGAAAAAGGCTAATTGATCCTAATTGATCCAGAAATAGGAGCACTCCATTTTCGCGTGCTGTAATTATCAACCAATCACTGACATGAAGCTATTGATCTGAGAGTGAGCAGTGTAAAATAACAACAAAGACCAAAAACAAAAACAAAGTGGAACACAATGACACTGGGTGTGGCATGAAGGCTTGCAGTCTCAAGGAGGCCCAACCTTCCACGCCCCTCGATGTCCTTGTCTCCAGAGTGAGAGATTCAGAGATTCAGAGTGAGAGATACAATCACTCAGTAACATCCTCATCATCTGCCAGACAACTGTACCGGGCGGAGAGTTGAGAGCACATTGATCCCTGCAACAACCCTTCTGAGTGCGGAGAAAGCCTTTTCTCTTTCTCCGTGCATACGCAAGTGTGCTTCAATAAAACATCCCAGAGCTTCTCACTCTTACATCATCAGCTCTCTTAACATAAATAATATATCTCATGACACCTCGCTGGACACACTTCACAGTCTTCTGTGTGGCATTTTTCTTTCATGGCTTACAGAGGAAAAGGAAAGCATGTGATAATCAAAACACAAACTGGTAATCACAAATAGAACCAATGATGCATCCTAAAAGCTGAAGAGATGATCTATTATTGATGAGCAATGTGGCGTCTTTCCGATAAACCCTGCACTGCAAGCATTTATCTCATCGCAGCTCTTTTCTAGAATAGCTTGGATAGCTTTCTATTTGCACAGACATGACCTCACCACAAATGGCTCATGACATAGCGTGGAGATGACACGCGTACAAAGGAGTATACAACTTTAGTGAATTAGACACAGACAATAACGTTGATTTCCCTTTGTTCAGAAACAATTAAGGGGGTAAATGCAAATCTAACAGATTAATGTCAAACCAGTGTGACCCATGTCTTTCTTTTCCTAATACACAAACCACTTATTTCCTTATACAGAGAACATAAATAATCAATGAACTGCAGCAACATGAAACATTAGCTACCATCTTTAGCCTAAACAAGAGCTAAGCAGTCACTAGTCTTCCTGTCATGAAGCTATCGCTTTTCTTAGCATATCTTCAATATTTTTCTGCAAGTAAATGCATTTAAGACTAACATCAACCTACTCCTAGCACACGTTTATGTTTAAGAAAACGTTAACATCTAAACGTCTGCCACGTCAATAATAATATAAAATATGGCAAAACAGATAAACAACTACAATTGAACCAGTTCAGCCATTAAAAACAAAGCCTATGCGACGTGTTTTCCGGCAGGGATTACGATCCACGGCACTTTCAATTTCAGCACCTGCATTGCGGACAGCACCCCAAACCCACATCTCACAGCAGAGCGGTGCTCGTCCTGGCAGTAGCTGCCAGATGATCATTACTTCTCACACACACACACACGCACACATGTTATTTTTGAGCTACTGACAGCGATGTCATCCAGGACATAACCTTCTTTACCGGTATCAAACAAAACATTGGTGGTCGTAAACCCGGAAACTGGCAACGCATTTCACTTTCCTTGTTGTGTTATGAAGTGATGCACTGTAGGATGCCATGACAAAGACTTGTCCTTGCAGCTATAATGTTATGTTCTGCAGCTGTCCAGGGAGGAGCTGTCCAGTCTCCAGAACCGACAACAAGCTAGTCTCAATATGTGCTATTCTCTATTGAACGCACCATACTCCCTTTTACAATCCGTCACCCAAGTAACACCCTGCTATACACGACAGGAAATGATCCAATCGAAGGGTATAAACACTGGTTATGGCATTGTGGTGGAGTTCTGGAAAATTCGGCATACGTTGAATCGACCAAAACAGGACTTAATTCCAATAAAAGTCCGTAATTTAGCAACAGTGAGCACACATTAGTAGCTGCCACCCTGGTGAATAACAACAGACTTGACTAACCCTTTATATAGGTTACAATATCAATGAAGTCAACCTACTTTGAGGAATGGCAATTGGATAAATGCATCCTACATGCAACTGGGTTACGTGATATTAAATATAGGAAATCTAATAAAATGTCTTTGAATTAAATAATTTCCCCACACAGAGGAAGTAACGTTGCGTGGGGCTTTAATTATGCTAGCCTAGCTGGACAGCTAACGAAGCTACAACAACACAATATATATTAAAGTGAGCTTATACCTTATGGCTGGAAAATACGCGGCCGTCGAATATCATGTAAACGGTTGTAAATAGTCGTTGAACGGACCAGCCTTCACCGGCTAAGAGCGTCCTGCCTTGTGGGGCATGTCGGTGATGCTTTCAGGGGCTCGCCTTTGGTCGCGAGAGAGGGGAGGAGGTGTCATTCATCTCCCTGAGCTACGAGACAAAATAAAGCGATGCATCATGGGAAAAGAAAACCAGGGCCCAAAGGCGTTTAATCACGGTTATTTCTAATCACGTCATTCAACACTAGCCGGTAGAATTAACACTTTAATTTATTTTTTTAAGTAAAACATAAGCCGCAATACAGACGTTACTAACCTTGTATAACATGAATTGTTGTCAGGGACGTGCTACAGTTTTTAAGTCACCGGCGTCATCACCATAGCAACAGAATATGTCACCTGTTAGCAGTGATGCGTTCACGCCACCTAGTGGCAGAACAGGAGTATAGCAACACTGCAATTAGTGAGATACGTGATGATGTCGTAACGCTAACTATGCTGTACTTAGGTGTCAGATTTAATGTCCATCCTGTGCCAAACTGCCAGAATGAAGTAAATTAATGAAAATAAGTGAAGCAGTTGGACAGAGCACAGCTGGTGGACAGCAGAGGGGAGTGTTGCCCTTCAATGGCAGATCAGGGTTCCTACAACACACTGTGCCCACTCACTCTCATGCTACTCCTTTTTTCATCTATTTCATTTTTAGCAAATCTCACAGTGATTGGTCTTATTGTATTCATTACTTTAATTCTTCATGAATGCATTCTTATCCATTCTTTAAAGGTCTCTTGTCATTAGAGATTGTTAAGGAATATCAAACATGGGACTGATCTTAACATAATTCTTTGCTATTTTGGTAAAAACAATTAGACATTTAGCAAAACATACAAATCAATGTCTGTATTTAAATAATAGCCATCAGTTCAAGGTGCAGTTTGCCATTCAAGCCTTTTTGCCTACACAATTGTTTGACTCCTTTGGGTATTCTTCTGCTGCAGTTTGGGGTTAGGTGGCAAGACACTTAACCCCAAAATTGCTTCAGTAGTTGTGCCTACGGTGTAGAAATGTGATAGAATCTGAATTGTAAGTCGCTTTGGATAAAAGCGTCTGCTAAATGACTGTAATGTAATGCACACTCAATGTGACTATTCAAGTTGGTATGTGTCTATTAGAATTGGCAACAGCATTGTTTATGTTAGATGCAAGACTGCAAACAAGTGTTTGTGTGGGCTTATGGCTGTAAAATGTAAAAAAATAATAATATTTTTGAGAATGAATGTGTGTTATCACAACTTTTCTTTTGAATGTTTTTCAGCACTACTATTCAAATACTATATCAATTAACACAAAGGTTTTCTATAATCAATTTATATCAGTATTTAAATGGTATGTACTGTATGCTTGTTACAGTATACACACTTAATTTAATTTGTTAGAATTTATTAATAATAAATTGTATCATTTACTGCTCACCGTGGACTTTTCCGGAGGAATAATTTAACTTTAACTAATCTGAAGTGATATCAGCAGTCTTGACTCTGAGTTCCCCAGTCTGAGGTATGAACATTTGGGAAACAGTAGCCTTTTCATACCGACTCATAATATCCCCTTAAATTATTTCTGGCAAGAGACATTCCACAGTGACCTAGCTACTGAGTAAAATGATACAAACCAAAAACAAAAGCATCAGTTTTCATTCTCAACCTAAGTAAGAGGCTCATGTGTAAAAAGAAAATATCTCATGGAATAAATGGAATTATTGTCCACCTCCAGAAATGTTATTTTTCGGGAAGCAGCCTTTAATCTCTCCCTGGTTTAGGCATGTTTGTGATAGGGATTAAATTCTTCTCATTTCTTTATTTTTAGTGTTTCTGGCACACTTCCCAGCTGCCTGCAGAAAGCACCTGGTTGAGGTGAAGGTAAGTTATCCTTGCCCCAAGAAAAGTGAGGTGAAAAATAATTCTCCAACAGAGACCCCTATGGTGATTTCTTTTACTTTCACACTGCTAGAGATCTCCATATATCATAACAGGTTGTAAAGTAGCTCAACAGGAGAAACCTAGAAACCAACCGAATAAAACCTGCTGTGTTTTTTTGGCCTTTGCCTATAGGTGATCCGGTGCTGGGAAGGCTCCAGCTGAGAAATGTCCTTCATACAAACTGGCCAAATCCTCCCTCCCACCTGTGGTGTCCATTTCCTTTAACAAGGCTCAAGGTTCAGCTTTACTGTCATTATATAATACAGGATTTCTCCCTGCTACACACACTGAAAATGTATAAAGAAAAATCCAAATATTTGAAATTAGAGATATACAAAAAAATAGTGAGGTGGAAATGAGGGTAGTGCAAAGGTTCTATAGTAATGTGCATAAGAAGTAAAGACTGACAATCTGGCAGGCCTCATTAATGTGTCTGAGATTTACAGCCAAGTGTGAATGTATTTCCTGTCTTTCTTCATAAGAAACAGAATATCAATCAACAGTTTAGTATGTCTGTGGCTTGATATTCTGTCTTTTATAAAGAAAGTGAGGAAATACATTCTTTTGAAACACAGCCATGCACTCAAAAATGTTCCAAGTAATGTCATACAGACGGGGGCGAGGGTGCTGGACATGGGCCCAAAAACGTCATATATGTTATACTGCTGGAAAAGTAATAAGAGGGGACTATTGTGCTTTTGTTACAACTTCTGGGCATCAGTCATACATCAGTAAGAGTAAAACAAATTTATACCCTTCTTGAATGTGTCTCATTGGTATAGTTGTTGGATTGTGAACAGATAGTGCAGGTCCTTGTCAAATTCAGGGAATTACAAATGTAAGCACATGGCAGCCAGTCTCAAATGGCACTGTTTAACTGCCCCTGCTCTGACAAGCGGCCAATACCAACACTTCTCAGGTTGTAATAGTTTTACGGTTATTATATTGTGGTTGGCAAGGCATAATGCCTCTAAAACTCTGAAAAGCTAATTTAATTTTCCAAGACCTTTTTTATTTGTCTGTCCAAAGAAAGTCATAATCGCCCGACTGTTGAACCGACTGTCATTTATGGGAAAACTTCAAAGTAAGCTGCTGACAGTGTGATGGCATTAATGTATTTCAACTTTCTGATTATGATTTAATATATACAGTTTCATAATGTGAAATGCAATTGGGTGACATTTTAAACTTAGCTGAATTATTTCTTTAGATAATTTGCCATCACACGTGTCCTTATAGTACAGGCAGTAGGTGCACATGCATGCACATACTACCCTCATCACCCCCACTTACAATCATAAGGGTCCGGTCTTTCTCGTAAAGCTGCTCCTCATGTTTTCGAGAGATGTTGAGTCTTTAACAGACATTTGAATCGTCTCTTTGTCAAATGGTAAATGAACCCAGAGACTTTTCCATTTTGATTTGCTCCGTGCTTGTGTGGTATGGAAAGTATTTGTACTTTCAAGTCCTTACTCCATATCTGTAGTATGGACTTTATATGAGGCCATTTGAAAATAAGGGGGCCAGCATATGTTAAATGAGCACATAGAGTAAAGGTTATTACAACAGCAGTCAGCTTCTCTGACAGTTTTGTACCTTCCAATTAATTCATGACAAATTTACGAGCTGAGAAAACATAGGTGAACACAGGGTGGAAATTACAGCCAACATGTTACATAGGGCTCGCATGGAAAGCCCAATCATTACAACGCCACTGCCAAAATATCTCTGCCTTTATTCTGGTAATGAGGCTGGACTGCAGGAAACCATGCTTTCTATGCTACTTTTTATTTCTTTTACAGTTTGTTCACAGTCGAGAGAGAGCAGTTAGCTTCTTGCCATTTAAAGTAACACTTTAATTACTAGAGGTTAATGGACCACTAACACCAGACTTTGAAGTGGCTGTAACTCAAGGTGCCCGCACAGTCAGCCACAGAAGAAAATGTGTATCATGGTATAATCATTCCACCCGTACTGGTACAAGACATGCTGTGATGGATAGTGAAAGACACATAACTTAGTTCAAATGAGCTGATGAAATAGAAAACATGAAGGTTCAGAGCACATATTTAGAGGATAGCAATTATGAGAATAGGCTTTAAGTATTCTCTCTGAAAGTTGTGCTATTTTGCCATCTAAAATAATAGTTTAGAGAATGCATGAGCATTTAAAGTAAAGCAAATGCAAGTGTCAAATAAAACTATTCAATTCAGAAGGTAATTAATGTAATGTCTGTGAGGTGATTGTTTAAAGCCACTTCCTGGTCTGGCCATGTGACAATGAAAAACAGAAGAATAAAGAAATAATATCAACTAGAGTTTAATGTCAGTTACTAAGTGTAGTAATAAATGTTTCCATTGGATGTATTGTACCACAATCACAATTGTACAATGACAGAACCACATTAAACCAACAGGATAAAACAAGTGCATCACACAGCATGTCCGCACAAATTAAAAGCAAGACTTGTAATCAATCAAAACATTTTTACTAATTTGGTTGCATTACATTTTGCTGCAAGTTTCTAATCTGTGTGTATACAGCAGTGTCATTGGCATACATTTGAAACACATTTGGAACACTGTTGTTAGAGGCCTAATTAATTGGAGGGGACCTAACACAGATCCGTGAGGTACTCCCACTGGTGCCTCATTACCCTTTAACATACTTTGTCCTGTTAGATAAATATAAAACGTCTATGCAAATGCTTTAGGTGTGAAATAAATGTTAGAAGGCTGTGAAATCAGTGTCATGATTGACTGTATATACTTTTTGCGAATTTAAAAAAAACAGCACCAACTACTTATCTTTGATCAAGCTTTGATTGTATTTGCACTTTTAGTTAAGGTAGCTGTTTGGGTGGATGTTCAGGTACCTCGAGTAGAAGCAGAAGTATACCTCTGTATAACCTCCAGTACAGTGTAAGTCTGAACAAACTAATGCTTCGGGCTAACTTGGGTGGTAAGGTTATGTGTAAAGCCTTTTTGTG